CAAATGCTCTTTATCTGAAAAGTGATGCAGACTCCAAAATATCTCAGACTGAAAGAGAAATGTCTACACAGAAATTCTGTAGCATTGCTCAATTTAAAAAATTTAAATGGTAGCCCATACTCATTGACAAAAAGTCAGACAACTCTTTTAACTCTAGAGAACACGAATGTGCCCACCTCTATCTTGCTCTTCAGGGTTAACTACTGTCACTTCTTTGGCGTGTATCTTTCTAGACTTCCTTCCCTACACAACGAAAATATATGCACCTGTGTAAACACTAAAAAAATATAAAAATGGGATCCTGCTGTGCGTGCTTTATTGCACTTTGGTTTTTTTCCACACATCTTCTGTGCCTATATATACAGATTCTCATCATTTTTGATGGATATACAGATTTTCACAGTTTGCATATAAACACAACTGTCTTACCTAGTCTCCTAATGATAGACCTTGGGGTTCTTATTCTCTCTTCTTAATAGCAAAAAACGCTATCATGAATGTCTTTGCTCATATAACTTTGCACACTTCTTTCCTGAGTATTTCTGCAGCAGATTCCTAGAAAAAGAACTGCTGAGTTAAAGGATATGCGTATTTCTACTTTTGTAGGTACTGCCAAAATGCCTCCAAAAGAGATTTCACCAATTTGTATACTCGACAACTGAACAGAAAATATCAAACCTTCACCAACAGTGGAATCATTAATATTGTTAATTTCTGCTACTCTTGCTGTTTTAGCTTCCATTTTCCTGATCAGAAACAGGACCCTCTTTGTGTGAAACAGACCCTCTTTGTGTGTTCATTGTGCTATTTGCCTTTAATTTCATAATCTTCTTTTTTCTAGTTACATACTAATAACGATGCTCAATTATTTTATACCAATTAACACTAAACTGCATTTACAAAAGAATCGCCCTGGAAACTCTAAAATGAGTAAGATTCCATGCCTGCTCTTAGGAATTTTTGTTATTGAACTTGTAAGCTCTCACAGGGCAGAAACTGTAGCTATCTTTTGATCATCTAACAAATAGTTCTTCTTCAATCCTTTTTACTATAATAAAATTTTGCACTTCTCTAGATAGCTTTTGAAATATGAAATAGAACTTTAGAAGAATTTATACCCATATTCACAATTTTTTTTTGCAACAACAAGAGATGTATTCCATAATCGGCTCATTGAGACAGTGGATTCTAGTAGAAGAGTATGCAACAACAGCCTGGCAGCATTTGGGGAGCTCAGAGACACACCTGGGCAGAGAGAAATACACAGTAACTGCAGAAATGTGTGTTTACCTGCCACTTTAGAGTCTTACACTGTAGGGCTAGAGAGAACTTGCAGGATTAGCTTCCCTGTAATGAGAAGCAATCCAGTCTCTCTAGCCGAAATTGCTTCATATTACGGAGGCATCCTCGCCATACCTCTGTTTCACTCTTTTTTAGGGGGAATGAATGGAGCACACTGAGACCACAGTTCTAGCTGGCATTTTCTGAGGGTTTACTGTCATCGAGGCATTGTACTAAGGGTGTTAGAGGCATTTTCTCCCTTATGTGCATTTATGGTCACAACAACTCTACAAGGAAGATAAAATTCTTGCTCCTTATTTACTTAAGATGAAACTGGTTCAGGAAGACAAATGAGCTCATTTACACAGAGAGGAAGTGACAAAGCAGCCCCTTCAACCCAGACCTGTTAACCCCGAGCCCGTGCTCACAATCATCACATCTGACATCATAACTGGACACGGAAATACAGAGATACCAGCTTTGCCAACTGTGCCCTTCAATTCAGCACAGGCCCAGTGAAATTCTATGGCTAGTCTACCTGTTTCTTGGCTGTGTGGGCCTATTGCCAAGCAATAGCAAGCCAGCTTCTATTCTTTCCATTCTCCACTGATCAGCAAGTTCATGGTTAACCCTCTTTGCCCAGAGGTATGGAGGTGGTCGAGGCCAAAGCCAAGCCTCCCTCCTCTCAAGTTTCCAGGAGACCTTTTCACAGAACTCTGCCAGTTCAGGTACACAGAGATGTGGGCACTAGATTGAAAGGCTCCTTAGATGGGGCCAAAGCAGAAAAGTTTCACTGTGATTTTGGCATTTTGGAATCTTTAGATAAGGAATTAGAATCTAGGCTTGTCTATCAGATTCCCACAGGACAGGTGTAGCACAACCAACACTTCTCCTCTAGAAGAAAACCTTAAGGAACCCCCACTCTCATCCGTCTCTCCCAGCCTTTCGTATTAGCCCCGCCTACATGGAGAGGATACTAACCCCTAGCCCTGCCTACACTTCCTGCCCTCCCTAGGCTCTTGCTGCACATGAAGACAGACAGGCGCACACACATGCAGACACACTGCTGTTCTTGCTGTTTTAGGGAATGAGAAGAGATGATTACAACCCCTTAAGGAAAGCTAAGAGATGCAGGGAAATTTAACACTAGCCTGCAGTTAATTAATTCAGGAGGTAATTTCTCTGACTTCATAAAACAGGAGGGCTTAGTAACTATACATTTACTCAAATAAAGAGAACAAAAACAGAAATAAAACTTCTTCCTGGGGCAGGGATCACTGGATTTTTTTTTTTCCATTTATGCCTCAATTTGTATTAGCCATTTAATGTTTTTAATAACTAAGTTTCTGGATCTGTGAAAACAGATGAAATGAGCAAAATATTATAAACGGTATAGAAGAAGGCCTAGAAGAACTAAAACTAGCTTTGCTGCTTCTTTCAAATTTCTCCCAGTTTAATTTCTTTCTCCTTCTTAGTTGAATTATCATAATAAACTCTTTAAGTGGGCCAGAAAGGACTGTATGGATATATACAGCATGTGACATAGGATATCATAATATATATATAATATATCTCTACATGTGTTATAGGAATAAATAATATTTATGGAAAAATATATACACAGATGTATATATATATATTTTATAGGAATAAATAATATCTATGGACCAGAAAGGCAAAGCTCAACGATCCAAGGTTTAGAAGAAAGAGGAAGGCTTATAATTGTTAAATGAGACGGAATCATACATAAAACAAAAATAATTTTACAAACTGAAAATACTGACTTCTATAGATTGACAACAAAAAGCCTCATTTGCTAGAGATGTGCTGTTTGCCGATCTTGGACCCCCTTTTGATAGGTAGATCACAAACGCTCCATCTCAAACAGAACCAGCAGATGTTGGGACTAAGGAATGATGGCTGCTGATAAAGAATGAAAATAAAATGGCTTCTCTTTAAATTCCTATGATCATGCTATCTTTTCTGAGAGAATGGGAAGTGAAGCTATCACTCCTTTAACAACTAAGTTATTCTAAATGATTGTAATGGTAATTGTTAACAGTATTCTTACTACACACTTGGTAATTCTGCCCATATTTCTGGTAAACCACAGAAAAACAATGCCAAGAGAGTTTTAAACAAAAAGATCTGAAATACTCATGCTAGTATTTATCTGAAGGGGCTTTAAAATTTTGGAATTTAAGTGTTTCCTCAATACAAAAAGATGGGTTTTAAGTATTTAAAGGCCTTAATATAATAATTTCTTTGATGAGATAAATGTGCACATGTATTTCCATAATACTGCCTGAGATTCTGCTTAATTGTTTTAAGTGCTCATTATGTTCCAGGTCAAGTTATTTGCATTATTGATTTCTCACCATAACCCTATTATGTTCATTTTATAGATGAACAAACTGAGTTCAGAAAAAACTGCACACCTGAAAGATAAATCCTAGGTCATTTTTCACAAAAGACTATACACTTAAAATGCATAGACTGAAATACCAAAGGATATTGACATATCTTTCAAGAATCTCTGTAATAAGATTAAAGTATTGAAGTCAGGGGTGATTTAAAACATTATGCACACTTTCAAGTATGGATTAAGCATTCCCTGCCCATGTGACCTCTATGTCTCAAGATCCAGGATTATATTGCACTCAAGATGTGATTTTCTCCCTACACACCATTTCCAAAATCCTCTTGTCTAAGAACCCCATGCATTTGAACAACGACAACAAAAACCCCAGCCTTTTTTGGAGTGCAGGACTTTCCCATCTGCTTGCAACTCCCTCGATTCCTGTCTAATGGCTTTTCCTTCTTTGTCTCTGGATACTTCCCATCACTGCTCTCTTGAATCACTGTAGTTTTCCTGATCCCAGAGGCTAAGGTCAGTTCCTTCTGTCAGAAAAGCTCCTTAGGTCTCTGGAACAGAAGCACTATCAAAGCCCAGCTGGACACACAGGCTGCAACAGGGGTGGAAGGGAACAGTCCCTGGCCAGGAGCTGCCAGACATGGAGGTGAATGTGATGGACTAACAGGAGCCAGTACCTCCCGCTGCATCCTAGAGAAGCCCTACTGTGGGGCCCTGGCTGCCTAAGATGCTTCTGCTTTCACCACAGCTCTGGGTCGCTGGATAAGCTTCTCCCAGATCCTTTTCACAGCACCATGCCACTATCTTGCTGTTCCTGGCTCTCTCCCTGCCCTTACCTAGAGCTGGATGCTGGGGGTGCAGGACAAGGCCCAGACACAAATGAAAAGACACTTGATTGGAGCCTCTCATCTCTGCCACCAACCAGCTTTTCAGCCAAAAGTAGAAAAAGGGAAGAAAAAGCATTTATAGACAATGACCACTGCCCTCATTTCACAAGGCCCACCACACTCATGAGTAAACATGAACAGACACTTGGGGTTGGCAACAGGCAGAAAAATCTGAGTTTGGGGCCCCTTCTGCTACCAGGGTGGGGGCTGTGAGACTGAGACAGTTAATGATACCACTGGGCCTCAGTTTCCTCCTCTATAAAGTGAAAGCCTTTGACTAGATGATTGCTGAAATTTCTTCCCCATCTAAAATTCTGTAAGTCTACTGATTTATTTTTCAGTCTATGCTGTCATCAACCAGAAGTCACTTGTTTTCCAAGGTTTAACATATCGCATTCCAACATTTTCCATCTGCTTTTTGACCCAATCAGAGTCACTCATTAAAACATATGACATAAGGGGGTATAGCTCAGTGGCAGAGTGCGTGCTTGGCATGCACGAGGTCCTGGGTTCAACTCCCAGCACCTCTATTAAGGAGGGAAAAACATACAATTTGAAGTAACTGCATTTTGCCTACTTTAGATTACAACTCTTAAAGTAAGTAAGACTAACACTGAGAAATGAGAACAAGGTAGTCATTTCTCACAAGAGAAGCAGGAATAAACAACTTGGCTTCACCCATATGTTATTTCCAAAAGTGCCAGCTGGGTCACAGCTGAGGGTGCTGCTTATTTCTGTTTCGTCCTTTCCTCTTGAACTCAGAGCATAACTGAATTGATTCTGATGTTGTCTAAGGTCATAAAAGTTGGTATCAGTTAGCAACAGCTAACCACCCAGTTCAGGATTCTTCCCACAGGAGCCTGCCACCACTCAGATACCTTTCTGGACTGTCAGGTGATGTGGCTGTTCTCAGGAGGTTCCTCAGAACATCCTGAACTTGATCCCCAAACACCAGCCTTTCAGTGGCCAAGCTCAAAATGGACCACAGACACAGCCCTAGCTGACAGATGACCTGCTACTACAGTGAAAGTGTCTGACCCACAGTCCATTGCTCAACAGAGGACTGCTTCCTTTCCCTCTCGTTGATAACAGAGGAAACTAGTAGGTTTCTGTACCCCAGACCTCTGACCCCACACTCTCCAACTATGCTAACCCGTCTGCCATCTAATCACAGTGTCCTGCTTGGTGTTGGCTGAATGACTGAGCCGATGTCATCGGATGGATAAAGACTATCCCAACACTAAGATTCTACGATGCCATGGAGACATCAGGCCTAACGTGGGGGTTCTCCTTTAGGGTCTGCAGTGCCTAACTCTCAGGATGTGTGTAAGCAAGCAGTTTTCAGTATAGAAATTTCTGTGTTACGTTTTCTTACATGTTCCTTGAATCTATTGTGGAAAAGGCCTGGCTGATTCCTGACCTTGTCTTGACCTCCAGTAGCCTCTACCTGTCTGCTGACCCACAGCTTTAACTTCTGCTCTTTCAGATCTACTTTCATATGGCCTGTTTCTGTGTACAATTCTTTCCCGCTTCTTCCAGCACCAGTATCCAACACTTGGCTTTAGGTAGCTATGTGGAGGGTTGCTTAGGAGCAGGCTGGCTTGTGAAATAGACATACCTGGTGGAGTATGTGGCTTGGGGGAAATTTCAACAGTCCGGCTGGGTAAGAGAGTAGCTTTTCCTAAGAGGAAGAGGGTCTCACTGTGAACTGAAGAGAATGAAAGCAACCACCACCAATCAGGGCTGCTAGACAAAAACGCAGGTGGTCCTGATGCCAAGCACCACAGCCACGCATACTGACGGGTCTGCGGGGTCAAGGAGTGTGGGTTTCAGGAGAGGGGAACCACCTGCCACCAGACCCACAAAATGAGCACGTTTGGAAATATCCATCTTTCTGCCTCATGATCTAATTTGTTTGGAATTTAACCACCTGGTAATGGAGAAAACCCCAAACAAAATGGAAATTTTCTTTCCAAGAGTCAAAAGGGAACAAGGAAATACAAATCATTGTTCTTACACTCAGTGCCCAGGTAGAGCACAGTGTACAGGCAGGGCTCTGGGTACCTCTTCACCACTTCTTGCCTCTGCAGACCCTTCCCCGTTTCAACGACTCCTGCCACAGTAGACTTTGCCAAGACTTGACCAGGCTGAGTCCTGATTCCTCACCTGCCATAGGGTTCCTTGATTGGGCTGTTTTTGTAAAGAATGGATAAGGTAAGGCATTTCTTAGTCTTCATATTCTTAATAATATTCTTTAATACTATGTGTGGTTTTCCAAATTATTTCATGACCCCCAAACAACAATACATCTAAATTCTCAACATTTACAGATATGAAGAGCAGAGGGAAGCTGACTTTTGATGCTAGTCACTAAGAACAGAGGTCTGAAAGAGAGTGCACAGGGGAAGTTCCAGGAACTTATTCCCTTACCCACCTGGACTAGAGAAATTTCCCCAAGCCATATACTATACTGGTATATTTATTCCACAAGCTACGCTGTTTCTAAGTTAACCAACTCTACACGGCCTTCTAAAACCAGGTATCAGGTAAGTCACAGATTTCCATAGGCCAGGGTTTCTCAACGTTGGCACCAGTCTCTGACATGTTAGACTGGGTATTTCTTTGCTGTGTATGTGGGGACTGTCCTGTGCATTGTACAATGTTCAGCAGCATCCCCAGCCCCTACCCACTAGATGCCAGTAGCACCATGTTTCCCAAAATGCCTCCATATATTGCCAAATGCTCCCTGAGGGAGGGGGACAAACCTAACCGTGGCTGAAAACCACAACTTCACCTAAGTGCAAAACTCTCATAATATACACCAAAATAAACCACCCGCCTACCACCCTAGAGGTGAATGTATCACACTGATGCTTATTTTGTTGTCCGCACCTATGGCATCCATGTCAACAGAATGCCTTGTACATTGGGTTTACCAAGAACAATGTTTTAAAGTTTCACGGTGGTTTTAATTTACGTGTTGTTGCATCAAGCCAAGCACAAAACCCAAGTACTGCAGTGATTTAAAAACAAAAAGCCAGTGAGGGAGAAGCAGGATGGGAAAGTGCACTGTGTTCACCTTTGTTCTGATGGCTGGTCCTTAAAAATGCAGTTGGCAAGCCTGCCTGCCCTCCCTGCCTACCTGCACATGTACACACAAACATAGAGGCTACTGTGTCCCCCAGCAGATGGCTCTCTAGTTCTCAAGGGTAAACCACACAGGAGGTATTCTGGCCATCTGCTCATAAGAGAGGTCTATGGAGAAATGGACAGGAAGGGCATCTCTGGTGCAGACAGCTTGGTCTGATCACCCCAGGGCAGCCGTCAAAGGTGCTGGTGATGAGTGCAGTGCACTGAGAAAGGCTGAGGGTCCAGAAACTTCCAACCTAAGCTCCACTCTGCTTCCTGTACTCAGCACACTCTTGGCCAGAGACTTGAGTATTTGGGCTTCTATCTCCTCACATGTTAATGAACAGTTTTATCACAGGCATTTCCAACTCTAACAGTTTAAGTTCCTAAGAATATAACGCAGACAAATGTAACTTCCACCCACCCCACAATCCTTCTTTCTAAATTAATCACTGCTGCTAGTTCCACCTCAAGCGTTTATGACTATTCTCAACTCTACAGCAACTGCAAAAATGCACAAGATACCCAATGACTTTCAAGAAAAAGGACTAATCCTATCATCAGAGGTGATGACCTGTTTCTATTTTTGGCCCACGATTAAATCTCTGCAGAGATAATGTTCCATTTACAAAGGACTATTAAAAAGATCCATTCAAATTATCCAAACTATGTGTTGAAAGATGGAAAATACCAGTCCCATGGTACATATGAAGTCATCAGAGTATTTATAGCTCTTGAATCCAACCTAGGGATCATTTGACTCTATACCCCATGTAGAGATTTTCCATATATCATTTCCTTCTTCCAGACATGCTTCATAAACATGACCTGCTCCTGTAAACACCAAAGAAATCACATGACAAATGGTACTGTGGGAGATGCATAATGATACCGGAAATGAAGGACACCATCTGTACTATCTCCAGCAGCGAGCTCAACATTTGATTTTCAAATTTGTGTTCAAAGACTGACTGTCTCATGTTACAGTAGTAACAGGAGCCATATTTGCTTTTCAATCACATGGAAGAACGTCAGAAGCCCAGTTTCTCACCCCTTGTAAAATGATCTCTTATCTATGTAAATTTATTATAGAAAGAGTTGGGTCCTGGACATGTGTTTATTATGCTTTTTGACTTGAGGGAAGGAGTTAAACAGAAGGAAGAGAGGAAAGAGGGAAGAAATACAGACAGGAGATAGTCTCCACATCTCAGGATTTCACTGAGGTCTACTGAGAGTCCCAGACAAACTGACAGTATGTGATAAAGGGCTGACAAAGTGCTCTAGGTGCACAGAGGAGGATGCTGTTAAATTATGTTAAGGTAGACCCCTAAATGTGTCCATGTCCTAATCCCTAGGACCTATGAAACCTAAGACTATGTTACCTTAGAAGGCAAAATGTTATCCTACAAGGTTACAGGGGCAATTAAGGATGCTAAACAGTTGGACTTGAGGAGATTGTCCTAAATTATCCAGATGGCTCAATGTCATAACATGGGTCCTTAAAAGTGAAAAAAAGAAGAGACAAAAAAGAGAGGGTGAGGGAGATCTGAAAAGGACTCAACTCCATGGCTGGCTTTGAAGACAGAGAAAGGGGCCACGGATCAAAAAATATCAGTGGCCTCTAGCAACTGGAAAAGCTAAGGACATGGATTCTCCTCTAGAACTGTCAGAAAGGAATGCAGCCCTTTGGGACACCTTGATCTTAGCTCAGTGAGGTGTGTACTAGATGTCTCTCATACAGAACTGTAAGGTACTAAACTGGTATTGTTTTAAACTGCTAAGATTGTGTAATTTATTTCAGCAGGGAAACTAATGCATATATCAGTTTTAAAACATTCACTCTCAATACTTTCAGGTCCTGTCTACCTGGGGCAGCCCAACCTTTTCACTCGTTGTCCCACCAGCCCCCAAAGGATGAAACTATTTACCAACAGAATGATTTACTTGGACCTCTCTGGAGTGGTTTGTTACTTTTCGTTTTTAAGGCCAATATCATAGTTGCCTTGGCTCACAGTAAACTGAAACATACTGAAGTCAGACCAAGGGGATTCACTTTTGGTTGAGTATCTCCTTCTTTAAACTCAATACTTACAAAAAATTATTTCCAAGGCACTCTTCACAGCTAATTTGCACTAGGTTAAAATTAGGAGATTGGTTTGTATCTCTGTGATAGCAGTGTATGGCACAAAACAGGCCCTAAATGACCACTTGTTGAATGAATGAATGAACACATGGGTGATGGGTTTGACATGGAAGAGTACATCTGGCCTTCTGCATGGGGAGACGGTCTCTACAAGACCTCTTTGTACTATAGATGACTGGTTGGACCCAACAGGAACACAGAACTCTGGTCTTTCTCCTTTTCTTTCCACACCACCACTCTACATCTTAGATGCTGGTT